GGTTACTCTAGATCAAAGTATACTTTTCTTAGCTTAGTTGTACTGAGTATTTAAATCTGCGACAAATTTTATCAAATGCAATCTATTGTGTTTCTGTTTGTGTTTGATCACAAGCTTGTTTGATGATGACCTGGAGCGCGTTCTAGCATTTCTGTCATTGTTTTGCTAGGGTGTTTTGGTCCCTCTGCAGTAGCAAATGTTGGCCATTTAGTTTGAAATGGATGTTGAAATTTGGTTTTGGTGTCATGGACTCTTAGGGAATCAATTTTATGAGTCTAAGCCATAAAATAGGTAAGATACTGGATCTTCCGTTTGGATAGTGTGGTCCATCACGATATTAGAGAAAACTGGAACGGTGGCTTAGGTGTAGAAACAGGAAAGTATTGGACATGTCATTTACATCACAGATTTTACTAGTAACTGGAGCCTTCTTATTGCTAGTTGACTGCTGTGCATGATTAACTACTGTCCAGTCCTCACCCTTTCTATTTTTCACTCCTTTAGAACTTGATTCATTGCCCCGAGCAGCCTCCAAACGAGTTGTATGCGCGCCTGTTGAAATTTGTCCACAGTTGCCTGCAATTCCAAGCATCTTGCAAACTTCTTTGTTTACATTTACATGACTGGATTGCTGCATAATTTCATAAGTTTTTGTTCTTGCATCTAATTCAGCAGCTTGGTCATCTTGGTTGATCACCTGTTTTTTAGATTCATCTAGCCCTTCTCCTTTGTTTTTTTCTCCTGTAACCTTGGTATTGACAGCCCCGGAATTGGCTCGATCAACTGTTGCATTCACTGATACCTATATAAATAGAGTCGAATCCAAGATCCAGAGTCAATCAATGATATTATATATGTACGTTTAATTTCTTTCTGCATATATATGTACCTTTTCTGTTGGATAGACAGTATTCTTGCAGCCAAAACATTTCTCCCTTGTTCCAACAAACATGCTTGAAACTTTAGCTGCCTGTGGTTTCTGTTTCAAATATTCAACTTGGATTAATTATTTACAATTTATCCTCTCATATGTTGACAAGATCGAGTTATTCATTTGTCACTTACCTCATCTTTCTCTGGCTTCAGAATTTTTGGTGTCCCTGGAATAATTTTAATCTATCAATAAATTTTCTAATTTGCAAAAGTTGATTTGAAATGTATGCACTTTTTCTCTCTACCTTCAAAGCTTTTGTCCAGACTTCTAGTTCTTTTAAAGAGCTGATCAAAGTGAGGTCTACAGTAGAGAACTCCATCAAAGGAATTATAGTTGCTAAGCTGCAATTGAAGACAATAATAAGCATTGAATATTAAGATGGAAAATTGGATTAACAAGTATAAATCTACTTTCTTACTGAAATCAAAAAATGAAACATTGAATACAAATCTGAATAATGGATTGGCTAAGAATCTAGTACTAGATAAAAATGGACAAACCTTGAGAGTACCCTTGCAGTGATGGCATCTGAAACAAGCTTTATGATAGACTCTATTGTCTGCAGTTAATTTATCAACAAGAAACACTGTCTTTTCACATGCCATACATTTCTGTGTTGGTCCTGCAAATGCCATTATTACTGAACCCATTAGTTTATTACCTTACTGTTTAATTAGTTTGCGAATTGGACTCACTATAAATACCTACGCATTGATAGTTGTTACATTAAAATTTATATGGTGACAGTGAACAGACTTTAAACTCATTGAAAATAACTTGGCAGTAAGAGTGGAAATAAAAAGTAGAAACTGATCCATTGTATGTTTTATGGTATCTATTTTGTTTGAACTTTTATTTTCTTTCTCGTTGTTTTTTAACTAATATAAGTTACTCTCCTGTTAGTGATCAGCCTTGCAAGTCAGAACATCTTCAGGTGCTCAAATAGGTGTTGAATCAGAAGGAGGCTGAACAGAAAGAGTAAGTTCCCTTTTTTCTGTTCCCATACATAGTTTTGCCTCTCTACCTTTTCTTTTCATACTTCTCCTTTTTTCAGTAATATGTACTCATATTATACTATTTCGCATCTGCTTTTTTGTATCTGGCATAGATTTTAAAAAGTCATGAATCAAGAAGGGTGTTCAAGCAAAAACAAAAAAATATCCAACCGCATTCTAGCTGGATCACTTGCATCTTTGCGAAACCAAAAGGTTTCGTCGTTGACAACAAAGAGAACCTCTCAAGCTATAAGGTCTAATGAAAATGAAGAAAGACAATCAGAATCTCGATCACTTGCATTTTTCCGAAATCAATCGTTGACAACAAAAAGAACCTTTCATGAAAATGAAGAAAGACAATCAGAAGCTGAGAAGGTTCCACAAAGATCTCAACTGCAAGAAAAAGTGCGGCAAGTGCCATTGATTTCTACCTCTTCTACAGCACAAGGAGTACAAGATCAAGTGCGGCAAGTACCAATGGATTCCATCACTCCTACATCACAAGCTGTGCATGAACCATCTGAGGATTATACCGATCATGAAGCAATTGAACATTCTGAGGAACCAGGCAATTATATATAAATTTAATCATAAAATTAACTAATAGTGGTGATTGGTGATTATACTTGTTTTGTATTAGTGCAGGCCCTTCTGTGCCAAAAAGAAAAAGAGGCCCTACTCAAATGCAAAGTGTGCACGGTAGGAAGGACCGTAAAATAGTCGTGCTAAATGAGTTCAATCAACCCATTGGTCCCACTAAGGAAGTTGTGAAAGAGTTGGGTAGCTTCCTCGGCACATTGGGAAGGAATGAGACCTTTTGTCCTCTTAATGTATTTGATTAGAGGAAAGTAGACAAAAAAGATGATATTTGGAAATATGTCAAGGTATGAAGTTCCTAATGTTCAATAAGCATCTATATTTCACATTTCTTATATTAACCCAATTGCACTAAATTTGTAGGAAAAATATGACATTCCTGAAGAGGCGAAGAATTGGGTTTTTGATTTAGTTTGTACTGCTTGGAGAAAGTATAAAAGTCAGTTGAAGAAAAAGCACTTTGATACATATGAGAATGACGAGCGTCGAATGCAGAATAGGCCACAAAATGTTCCTGCGTCTCACTTTAAAGATCTTCTTGACTATTGGAACTCCGATGCCGCCAAGGTAATTACATCAAACTTTTGCCAACTCGGTCTGCTAGTTTACTGTGGGCACAACACAATACTAGAACTTTAATCTCTTAAAGACACTCAGCCAATACAGAACAAAAATGAATCAGAAGATACTAGCCTTACATTTTCTTCATACTAGTTAGTGACTGGAAGCTTTGAGGAAGTTTACCGGTCATTGAATTGAAAGAGATATCCCTGAAGCATAAATGTAAACAACCAAAACTAAGCAACATGGGATAAAGCATAATTAAATCAATCAAGAAAAACAAAACATACATGCCAAAGGCTGAGTTAAGTTGAGCATCAGGTCAAGGATCGAAGCCCTTCTCATCAATAATATAGCGACAAACAACTAAAGGCATAGTTCTGGACATTTCACTTGGTGGCAAGAATTCACATAATAAACTTAAGGGAGACTCTATATATCTATCAAGAATAGCACATTATACATTGAGATTCTCAATTATAACAGGGTAACATCAATGTATATAAGAATGGCAGAAATGAAGAGAAGGCCTTACAGTGTGTTGAGAGCAGTGTTATTAAAAGCGCTCGCTTCTCGCTTTAAGCGATGAAGCGAGGCGAGGCGTAGGGTTAGCGCTTTTCTGCTAAAAAGGCGACTCACATTCAAAAAGCGTGCGCTTTTCTCGCTTAAGCGAGAAGCGAGCCTGTAGAAAAAGCGAGAAAAAGCTCGCTTAAGCGAGCATAAGGCATCAGGTAGGGTTTTTTTAAAAAATTTTTTGGCAAATAAACCATCTGTGAACAAACAAACATACGCGACTTCTTCTCCAGCGGCGACCATTGCTGCTCCAACGACTTCTTCTCCAGATCTCAGTAAGTTTCTTCAACTTCTTCTTCTTCTTCTTCTTCTTCTTCTGTTCTTCTTCTTCTCTTCTTCTGTTCTTCTTCTTCTTCTTCTTCTTCTTCTTCTTCTTCTGTTATTCTTCTTCTGTTCTTCTTCTTCTTCTTCTGTTATTCTTCTTCTGATGGAATTCTTTCAACTTTTTTCCCTTTTTAAGCGCTCATTTTGTGCCCTAAATGACTTCTTCTTCTTCTGTTATTAAAAGTGCTCTGTTTTATGCTGTTGTATGCTCTGTTTTCTGCAATTTATGCTCTGTTTTATGTTTTCTGCAATTTATCAGTGAGTTAATTGTTATTTTTCTTTGGTTGTTGATTGTAGTAACTCGAACATGATAACACTTCAAGAGTTTGGAGATCTTGTTGAAGAATAGGATGTTGCTTAATATGTTGAGCCATTGTTTCTGTTGCCTCATCTTCACATAGACAACATCTGTTGTCAGTCGCTGGTGTTGCAACAGAGGTCCATATTAAGTCAACTATCTCCAGCCTTGGTTTGTCTCCTAATCGAGCTAGATAACTACTCGTTATGGAATAGTCACCTTTTTTTGTTTGAGTGTACTTATCATGAGTGTACCATCCCTGCATTTGGGCCTTCAAACTATTAAGTTTCTTCTAGACTATTCAAGAGTGTGAGCAATTATAGGAGTTTACAATAACAGACTGTTTCATATTGAGTAAGCATGCTTCAATTGTGTAAGTTAAGTATGAATAATGTTTGCTTGTTTATTTGCAGAAAATGTCTGAAACCGATATCGAGAATCGAAAAAAGTTGAAGCATCAACACACTGCTGGAAAAACAAGTTTTGCTCAAATCATCAAGGTTTGATTTTTTTTCTCTTATTTTTCTTTAAGTATGAACTTGCTAACTTTGAATGAAAATATTATTATACTAGTTTTCTTTTTTACTAGGAAAAAAAGAAGGAAATGGCCGATACTTCGGATAGTCTATCAAGTAAAGATATCTTTGTGGCCACAAGAAAAAGAAAACCTGATCGAGTATACAAAAGCTCTTATGAGAGTACAATGAGTAAAATTGTAAGAAATTTCTAGTTTAAAGATTATCGTGATTATTTATTTGTTCTTAATTATCGACTTAGTTTTATTTTACTTATACTTTATTCTCTTGCATTTGGTTTGTAGGCTGAAATAGAGAGAATACAATCCACTCAAGAAAGTGGAGATGGTATTGATTCAGTTGACACTTTTGCATCAGTGATGGGACCTGAGCACCCAGGTCGGGCAAGATTGTATGGACGAGGAGTCAACAAAACTGTCTTAAAAAAGAAAAAAGGAGATTTTGGATCCTCTGTAAATGCTACTGATGAGAGAATGGAACAAAAAATGGAGGAGATGGAAGAGAGGATGCAACAAAAATTGTTGGAAAAGCTCAATGCACAAAAGGAAAAATTGCTGGAAGAGCTCAATGCACAAAAGGATGCTATGGAACAAGATATTACGATGAACGTCGTTACACGACTTCAACGTCTCAACCCCGATTTAAGACTTGATCCTGACATGCTAATATTCAGTGCTCGTGCACCTGGAGAAGCTGCTTCTGCACAACAAGGTGCTATTCAACCAATCAATCGTCCATCCGCTGGCAGTAACAACCAAGGTACACGTCTTCTCTTTCCTCTTCTTCTCCTGCCACCTGCACACGAAGCAGAAGAAAACGCACACAACTCGCAAGTCAGGTGATTTCTAGTTTGTGTCTTCTGATACCAAATTCCAAAATGAAAGAGATGCACATGAGTGTTTACATGACTGGCTAACATGAAAAGAAGGAGATTGTAAGCTGCTCCTGCCCAAGCTGTTTTAGCAATAAAACCTGTAGTTTTGATAATCTGCTGATTTAACGGAAAAATAACAAACAACCTTGGCACGTATTGGATGAGAACGATAAGAGCAAGAGTACTTTTGGAGTGACCATAATAAAGAATAGATACAAAATGCTCACCTGGGATAGTTTTTTATCATCATCCGACAACATGTCCATAGCACTCCAGAAAATAGTTTCAATATTCACCTTCTCATCGTCATTGTTAAGATCCATTTTTGACATCTATTTCCATATTGAAAAGGCAGAACAGTTAGCTTATTAACCCAAGAATCACAGTATTCAGACAGAAATAGATGTTCTCATATGACATCAAATAAGAAATCCGTATAATTCTGGGCAACGGAAAGTTGGTGGAAAGGTTGATGGAAGAAAATATACTGCTACAGAAAAAATATCATGTCAAAAGTTGATGGCATGTTCTCTTCTCTATGACCAGACAAAAAGGAGATGTAACAGAGAAAAAATCAGGAAACCCATGGGCTGGTTTGTCAACCATGTAGTACAGCAATATAACCATTTAAGAATTATACGCTTCAGCAGAAGGCATAGAACATACTTGCATTGCTAGAAATTCACATTCTCTTTTGCTGAAGCTAAAACATATTGCAGGATCATATTGCCGCTGAATAATCATTTTAACCATCTTGAATATGTCACTATCCTCACCAGATTTGCAAACAACCAGACCCTTCTGATACTTGCCATTCTCTCTTTTCTTATCCCCTTCATTGGCTGGAACAATAGCATTCAAAGCTTTCTGAAAACTATCCTCACGAAACTTCCCTTTTTCATCAACCACCAAGTATAACCCATCACCACCAGAAGGAAATATATAATGCTGAAGTGGAGTGGGTCGATAGTTCGTATAAACAATGTGACATGGTTGCTGATGGACCTGCACTATGACAAACCATGTTAATATCCCACCATAAGATGCATAAACAGGTTAAACTATCACAAAATTAGTATCTCAGCAAAACAAGGATAATTCAAGATCACTCTTTCTCCTTGACCCTTCAATACATAATCCTAACATGTTCTGTCGTTCCCCATATCCAAAAATATTGTTATGTCATCCTCTCATAACTAAACACATGCAAAAACTATCTACTTCTTGAAGCAGCAAGGTTTGTTTTTTATATTACTTCTTTTTTCTTTTTTCTTTTCCCTTTTTTGAAGAAGTTTTTATATTATTTTCTATACTTGAGCAACATAATTATGATAAACAAGGTCTTAAACAATAGACCAAAGGCAATAGCTTCAGGAAATAGCATGCATTGAAAATGCATAAAGAGAACATGGCTCCTTGATTCCACACATTTGAACATGGTTTCATGTCTTGTTAGAGTTAAATAGCAAATGTTTTATCTTTAATCCATCTTGCAAATCTCACTTTATACTACTCTTTTGTAGGTGGAGTAGATGAAGAGATGGAAGACGGAGGGAGTGATGAAGATCTAGACCTTACTTGAATTTTGAATTGTTGATTGTTGTAGATGCATGTGGCGGTTTCTAGGAATGTTTGTTATCAAAATATTTTAAAACTTTTGATGTTGAATCAAATTGTTATTGGTTTCATCACTATCTATGGATTTATAATTAACTTGTCCGATAATTTGGATTATCAAAAGTTTCATTTTGTGTTTATATAAATTTTAGTGTTTTATAGTTTATTGTATATTTACGTAAATCGTTATTTACAACAGGGGGCACTATTTTTAATTCAATTAAATTGTTACAGCTAACAAAACCGTTGCCATAGGGTCTGAAAACCGTTCCAAAATCATATAAAAACTGTTGCAATAGGTAGATCACCGTTGCCATAGGACCTGCAAACCGTTCCAAAATAATCTAACAACCGTTGCAATATGTTAGTGAACCGTTGCCATAGTATCTACAAACCGTTCCAAAACAATCTCTAAACCGTTGTAATAGGTAGTTTAACCGTTGTAATATCTTAAAGAAATCGTTGCCATTTCTATTATACCTGTAACGGTTTTGATAGATATAGTAATGGTTTATGGCCGTTGCATTTAACTTTACGGTAACGGTTATTAACCTTCGCAATTGATAAGAATAATCGTTCCAACAGGAGGAGGGAAAACCGTAACGATAGATTATGCTATAGCAATGGTTACTGGAACCGTTCCAAAAACCGTTCCATAAACTCTATAGCCACGGCAGCTCATGGAACGGGCGCTGAACCGTAGCAGTACATCTATGGCAACGGTTGGCTTTCCTATTGGAACGGTTTTCCCTGCGTAGCCATAGCTGAATTTTCCAGTAGTGCTTTAACCTTGGTGTCGAGACCGAGAATACAAAAGAGCGTGAGGCTGAAGCCAAAGCATTGCTCTCTTTTATTGATGATGATTCCGGGAGTGTGAGTGGATTTGAGATCGGAGGAGATCCCGGTATCGAGGATGTAGTTCCCAGGAAAATTAGGCACTTAGGATTTTTCATTTTTGAATTTTTGTGTAGGACCCTGATCGGTCCTTGTAAATATTTTCATATGTATAAAAGATCTCTTTGCTTTCTGACTTGTCTTTATTTCAATTTCTGCCTCATGAAACCTATTTCGTCCATGCCTTATTCATGAGTACAAGGCTTAGGCAATTTGGTCGAAGTTAGACTAATGCAGTCTTTGTAATCGAGTGAGTACTTGCTCGAACTCAAAGTAGGATGAACCTTAGGTTTAGTTGAGTGAGGATGACTTCTCGAACACAAAAAAATAAAATGGCCCTTAGGCTCTTGAATCAGGCCAATATGGCCTTAAAAAGAATGGGTTTTCTCCCTTTTCTGCTTATAAAGTTAAGCATAAAAAAATTTGTTATGCCTTAGCACGAGATAAATTTGTACCCATTAGGGTTTTCAAGGGTTAGTATTATCGAAACCATTTGCTTCGTTACACCTTAGCGTGAAATAAGCTTGTTCAGTAGTTCAAACAATTTGGTACCCCTTAGGGTTTTCGAGTGTTGATGTGATAGAAACGTGTTATAAATTTGTCGAGGGTAGCCTTTTAAACTAGTTTTATGGAAATATTTGAAGGCCTATTTTATTACGAAATACAGACGCCTCCGAGTCGTGTTGGTTTGGCCGTAGACTTTTACTTGGGATTTGCCTCTTGGGCTTCCTTCTCGGTTATACTTCGAACCTGTTTGAGGTGTCAGTCCCCGAGTGGTGTGGCTGTGGCCTATTAAAACGAGGGTTGCCTTTTAAGGTCTTATGATCTCAAGATTTTAGTAGTTCGAATACATTGATTTTTCGGAAGGTTGTCCCGAGACCGGGGTAAGTTGTTTGAACTTCAGTTGTGATCGGCCCTTAAGCCTGTTTCCACAACAAACCAAAAGTAAGAAATTGTAAAGTTAAATTTTCTCTAAGGCTTGAAATATTTGGCAAGGAATTTTTTTTTCTCTCAACTGATTATACATGCGTACATGTTTGTCTTGAGGTCTCGAGTAATCTACATGGGCACGGTTCGTTTGACCATTTGGTCCTTACAATGTTTTACCTATCGAGACCTGTTGACACGAAGTAGCTTCCTTGTAACAAATTTAACATTCGAGGGTGATGCCCCCCAGTATTCGAGGTTGATTGTAAAGAAGCGTTGGATACTATCGAGTTGATTTAACTTAGCACGAACAATGGTTGCCTCCTTAAAAACCTCGCCGGAAAAACCCATTTGGGGCAAAAACCGGTCTAAGGGAAAAAGAGTGCAACGCGTGCTTTCAGTCCTAAGGACTTTGTAATGAAGGATCCTTCGATATCTTCGGTCGAACACCTGCAATTGGTTAGTATATCATACAAATGAAAATGGAGAAGGTCGTACCTTAGCAGTAAATCTTTTGAGGAGTGATATGTTCCAATTGTTTGGTAATTTCTCACCGTCCATCGTGCCAAGTTTATAGGATCCTTTTCCGAAGATATCGAGGACCTGATACGGTCCTTCCCAGCTCGGGCCAAGTTTCCTTCATTGGGTCCAGAGTATTAACGGTGACCTTTCTCAGAACTAAGTCCTCAGTTTTAAAGTGTCGAAGATTTGCTCTTCGGTTGTAATACCTCTCGATCCGCTGTTTCTGCGCGACCATTCGAACTAGGGCGGCTTCCCGCCTTTCATCTAGATATTCGAGGCTCGTATTCATAGCCTCGTGGTTTGATTCTTCCATTTCTAGGTTCCCCAACTTTGACCGGGATCAGAGCTTTGGCACCGTAGACTAAAGAGAACGATGTTGCCCCCGTACTGGATTTCGACGTTGTTCGTTATGCCCAAAGGACCTCAGGCAATACTTCTCTCCATTTTTCTTTGGCTTTGTTCAATCTTTTCTTCAGATTTTGGATGACGGTTTTGTTTGTTGATTCGGCCTGTATTCCCAGGAGGATGATATAGTGTTGACAGGATCCTTTTAGTTTGTGATCTTCAAAAAATGTCGTCACTTTACTGCTGACGAATTGCTTTCCATTGTAGCATACGATCTCGGCAGGCATTCTGAATTGGCATATAAGGTGATCCCAGACGAAGTCTATGACTTCTTTTTCTCTAACTTTCTCGAAGGCCTGTGCTTCAACCCACTTAGAAAAATAGTCAGTCATAAACAAAACGAATTTAGATTTACCTGGGGCCGATGTTAGAGGGCCGACAATATCCATTCCCCATTTCATGAATGGCCATGGGAATTGGACTGAGTGGAGTTGTTCTCCAGGCTGGTGGATCATCGGCGCATACCTTTGACATTTGTCGCATATTCGAACAAATTCTTTAGTGTCTATTTC